TGAGCTATTTCCACTTTCCATAATCCAGCTCTCTGATAGATTTGCCTTCAACCCAACCATGAGTCTGGCTCCTCAGTCTCTTCTGATAGGCCAGGAAGTGGAACCCACTCTGAGCAAGAATCCTGCCAAATGGCTTTAGCGAAAGTTTTTAGCTTTGATGTCCAATCACCTTGAAACCTTATTACCACCCCCCACCACTCTACTTCTTGGCTATCATCCCCAGTTTTCATTGTTAGAATTGAGTCTAATCTTGTCCGTTGGGGCAAGAGTCTGCACAGCAGTCCCTATACCTATGACGATGTCCTCCATTAGAACAAAGTCTGCTGTACTGTCTTAAGTATCATGATAACTTTTTCATTAACACCTGCATCCATCCACCCAGGCACACCGAGACTCAAAATGCTATAGCCACAACTGTGTGTGCGCCAGCTGGAGTCTAAGAGAATGAGGAAGGTACAGAAACGTTGATGAAGGGTGGGTAGTTTGGGAGAAGAGCACTCATGGACCCTGGCTGCCATATTGGCTTCCTCTTGACACCTATCTTTTGGGTTGAAATCTGTCCTGGCCTCCCTCCAGCTTTCACTTGTTCCCAGTAACCATTAGTGGGTTCCCCTGCCAGTCAGACCAATGGAAGCCCAGGCAGAGGTTGTTCCAGGGAAAAGGAAGTAAGGGATGAGGGAGAACCACTCTCCTTATAGAGTTAATCAAGGTTTTTAGGTCCCCTGAGATACTCTTTTCCTTCTTTCCAGGTTCTGGGGTGATGTGGAGTCGAGGTGTGTTAGAAGCCTCATTTCTAGTGTTGGCTGGACCTAATCAGCTTTGGTGCAGGACCAGGTCCTTCCACAGAGCGTTTCTTTGTTAACAGCAACCTGGCAGGACTATTTATCATTTAAGAAACTGAGAGGGCCTGGCTCTCCTCCTCTGGGCCCTGGGGCTGTCCTTCCCTCAGATGTTAATCTACAAAGTCATCCTAGGCCAGGTCTCAGATGAGGCTCAGGGCTAGGGCAGAACCCGAAGTCTCTGCTCCCTTGGAAGCTTGGCTGGTGTGAAATCGACACCTGGAAAGAGGCCAGATGGAAACCCAGGGCAACAACTCAGGGTGTCCCACGTCAAATCACTTCATTGGGCAGTCATCTGAAGAAGGGTTTGTGGAAAACACACCGTGCTAGGTGTGAAGGACTAATCCAAGAAGACACTTCAGTCTGCCTGAACCTGCCTTAACCTCGGCCAGCTGCAAGCCAGGGGCCTGACAGGATCTTTCCTCTGGGGAGAGGCTCTGAAAATGGCATCTAGATAATCGTCACCTCACGCCCTGGGCAGCCAATCATTGCTCGAACTGCAGTGGTGCCCCACCCTGAATGCCCATCGTGTGTGCCCAGTCCTCAACTATAAGGCGGTGTAGTGAACAGCGGGGCAGCTTCTTGCTCACACTCTGGTTCCCAGCACACAGGTCCAGTCTTGGCTTCACCGTGTGACTTTGGGTAACTTATTTCTCTGTGTCTCAGCTTCCTTGGTCTATGGAAGATAACAGTGCCTACCCCCTGAGGGTGTGATGATAATTAATAGATGTGTAAAGATTTGAGGATAGTATCTGACCTTACAGTTATAATTTTCTCCACATCCAGTTCATTTTTTTTCCTGGTTACCTATTTTCTCTCTCACGCTGTGTCCCCCACTGCAGCACCCTCACTACCTGTATCTAGAGATGTTTTCTGTGTGGAGGTGGTTCAGGATCCTGGTTCTGCACACATGGAGCCCCACCTTGCTACCTCTGCTTTGTTTATTAGAGAACCACAAGTCTGGTTTGACCTGAGCCAGGAAGCGCTCCCCGTCAATCCAACTCCCCTGACCATGTGAAAGAGACTTCATTTTTAGGCAGAAATCTTTGTCTGTTCTACCCAGACCCTCAGAGCTCCGATTTAGCTGCCACGGGGAGCCAGATCGCTCGCCTTCTAACAAAGCCTGGTAGCGAGACAAATAAAGTGACAAATTTCATACATTTTCTTGGTAGAGGCAAACACACACAGAGGTCTTAGAGATAGGAACGGGGGCTACAAAGAGAATAAAACAATATAATGATCAGGACCAGAGGGCAACACAGAGCTGAGCAGGAAAGATGAGAAGGAAGCAGCCGTCGGACATTTGCCAGCAAGACTGCTCCAGCCTGCCTCATGTCAGAACACACCAAGGAAGGACACAGTCCTCTTGATCCACATTTCTTCCTGAGTTTCCAACAACTACGACAACAACGCAACTTTTCAAAAGAGTGGCATGTTCTTTTCTGTTTCCCTTTCCCATTCCCCGGTGAAACATTCATAAATTCCACCAAAATGGTCCTTTCTTAGGTCTGTCAGGTCCAAAGGAAACTTCATGTCCCCAGAATCTGGTGGTTAGACAACAGTCAGCCTTCTTCAGGTACTAGGCAAAGGGGCCATTTTCCCTCTCCCTGGCCGAAGAGTCAAATGACATCTAAGATGCTATCAGCGTATCAAAGCTCATGCTGGCCTCCTGGCTCCCTCAATATCACAAGTACTTGTTACTCATTTCAGGTCCATGCTGACATCCTGGTTCTTCTCAGCGCTCCTCCCACCCTACACTTGCTCCTGCCTGTTTCCCCAGTGACTAATTTCTCCATATAGCCCTGCTATTTCGGCTATGCTTCTCCCTCCCTCGCTCCCCTCCTTTCTTCCTCTCTGCTCGGCTCCTGTTTTCTCTCACGGCCAGGCCCTGTCTGCTGGCATGTCCACTTGACTTTCTCTCTGCTCTGGACTCTTCCAGATGCCTCTGGCTCTTTTCTTCCCCATCTTTATAATAAAAACCTCCCCCTTCACCATATCACAGTTTATACCAGGTCAGCACCAGCCTTCCTCATGTCCCCTATTGACCCAGGGAAATCTAGTCATCTTAGTGGCTGGAAAGGCTACCATTTCTGTCGTTTCTTGACCTTAATTTGTTTTCTTTTGATTCCATGGGCCCCCGATATGCGCCCCCTTTCCTTAGCTAGATTGTTTTGTTTCTACTATTTATGCTTTAGCGATTTCAGACACGGATATTCTGAACTTCTGCTCACGTCATCCCCGTGATTCTCATGTCTCTGTCTCCCTTGGAAACTCTTTCTTTCCTCCAACTTCGATGTCTTTTCCTTCTTTTTGACTCACTGAGTTTAACTGAAGTTATTTGCAAAGGTACTACTTGGGGTTATTTACTGGAATGTGGACATCTTATCAGTGGCTGCCACTGAAGAAAATGACGCACCCCCAGCACCCATTACCTGCCCGTAGTTCCTCAGTGATGGGTGGAGCCCCATGAGCTCCTTCTATGTGTATGACACAAAGTCATGGCCCAGCTACTGCAGCTACAGTGAGCTCATGAAGAAAACGTCCCTGTCACGCCCAGAAAATGCTTTTTGCAACCCTCCTCCCAAACGTCTGGCTCATATGTTCTTTCCACTCTCTCCTCTGGATGTTTCCTGAGCCTTGGAGCAGTTGACAAAAGATGTCTCTCCTAGGCACAGCCTATAGACAACTCTTTCAAATCCCAGTCCTTTGCTATCATCTGTCCCAGCCCAGCAGCAATGAGAAGAAGCGGTCGCAGTCTACGACTACATGTTCCCTGTATAACACAGGCTTTCAAAAGTGGTCTGTCGTCAGTCAGGGGTGGTGGCAAGGGGTGGAAGCTAGGGGAGCAGGAGAGCACAGCTTTGCTGAATCGTGAGTTTCCAGGCCAGCCCGGGCCACCGGAGAACCTGTCTTCAAACACTCAGCCGCACTGGGAGGTTGTGGCGCACTCCTGAAATCCCAGCACTGGAGAGGCAGAGCTCTGTGAATTCGAGGCCAGCCGCATCTACAGAGTGAATTCCAGGGCAACTAGGGCTACCCAGAGAGAAACCCTGTCTCAAGAAAACAAACAAACCCCAGGAAACAAACAAGCAATAAAATGAAAAATTAAATCATAACAAATGAAAACAAAGCAAAACAAGAAATCTAATTTATAACTACTCTATAAATGTCAATCATGCAGTGGTTTTGTAGTGGTTATCAACCTGTGGGTCGCAACCCCTTAGTGGTCAAATGACCCTTTCACAGGGGTCACCTAAGCCATTGGAAAACACAGATATTTATGTTACAGTTCACAGCAGTAGCAAAATTACAGTTATGAAGTAGCAACGAAAATAACTTTGTGGTTGGGAATCACCACAACATGAGGAACTGTATTAAAGGGTTGTAGCATTAGGAAGGTAGACAACTACTGGTTTTGCAGGATACTGTACATTTATAATGGCTTTCCTATGATATCCTATTATATATAACATATCTAGACCCTTCTTTTATTGTTAATACAAGAACTATGTCATTACAATGATCAGGTACCTTGCACTGAGAATCACTGAGACCATTCCCATTTTTCTGGCACAAACAGATTTATACATGTATTTTTTTTCAGTACTAAAAGTGAAAATAAAAACTATTTCTTTAGAAAACTTCTCTCAAATCCTTTGGCTTTAGGAGACAATGTGATGCACTAATTTTTGCTTATAGAGTGACATTTTCTATTGAATTTAAGTCAACTCCAGATGGAGGGATAGTAATTTAAGGGCTGGGAAGAGAGCGTGTGTTTGGTGTTCAGGGCTAATTATTGTCCTCAATTACCCAGAGGTCTGTAGCTTATGTTGGAGATGAACAGGAAAAGGGGAAGGACATGGAGAGGTGACAGGTGGGGACTGAAAACTGTAGGAATGACTCCTCTGAGCAACATGTTGAACGCTTATCGTTCGGAGGTGGCGAAGATCCAATATCCCCTTGCTAAAGTCTCTCTCAGTTCATTTCCAGGCTGGTGATGTTTTTTTTTTTTTTTTTTACCGAACACATGCTTAAAATCAAATGTCTCCTTGTTGGGCCATTGACTCTAACGTAGCCTCAAACAGGTAAGAAAGGACACTGGAAAGGATTTCCCACCCTCTACGGGCCAGCCTCTCTGTGGTCCCCTTAGTAGGTACTCACCGAGGACGGCGGAAGGTCAGGCCATATTGCTGACAGGCGAGCCCCACCGTGGGTGTGTACACAATGGGCATGAATTTCTCCACGTCTGAGGTCAGTACCCGGTAGAAGAGCTTCTCATTGCGGTCTTGGAGAGTCATGAGAATGATGTACCTTGGAAAGGAAAGAAAACGCCTGCTGATCCCAGGGACACCACTACTTGGCCGACTCCGCCCCCTCATGACGTCATTGTGCTTCAGAATGGAGGCCTTGCTCCAGGAAGGAGTTACACTCGGCGGTAGCCACGCCTTCAACCCACCGCCACTGTAGGGCATTCCATTTTCCTAGCCATTTGTGTATGTTGTTTCTCTCTAATTCTGGACTCTACTCCCCTCCTCCTGGAACCCTTACCAGCATACCACAGTTCGTATGGCTGGGGAGCCTTCTTAGCCTTCCTCCCAATCACCTGTTGAAACGAGAGTCTCTTGGGAGCGAGTGTGTGAAAGTAGCGAGCCAGGAGTAAGGCCCCCCCAGCTCTCAGGAACATGCGCACTCATCTCTTCCGGATCCTAGAGCATCATTTCAGGCAAGTGAGAGACCCATGAAGTTGGAAAGCTTTGAGAAGGCCAGCATTAGAGCGTAGTTTTTATAATTTCACATTTTAAGCAAATTTTTGACTTTGGACGCTCATTCTTTTTGGTACATTTAGCGGGAGTTTCTGATGGTTCAAAGCTCGGGCATGGATCGGTTTGTTGGGATAATCTGCTGCTTAACTTCTGATTTGCTCTTCAGGATGAGGTGGCTGGATGGACCAAAGGGAGAGAATGTTTGACTTGGTGGCAACGTGGACTTGGGGTTAATGTGAGCAGTAGCCATGAGCTTAGTGCTTTAGGAGTGGGGACGTGGATGTGGGCAGGGACATGCTTGCTTCCTGCTTCTCAGAAGGTATGGGTGACTGGAGGAGACACGGGGAGCTAGGTGCAGTATGACCCTCACATGCTACTGAACTTTGCCCTTCGTGGGCAGTTAGCTGTATGGATGTAGAGAGAACCATTATATTCTTAATGTATATCTGCTAAAGTCCATAGCAAGATGACACTTTTTTTTAAAAAAACAAACTTACAGAGAGTTTACTATGCCCCAGGCAACATTCTAAGTACATCATAAACACATGCATTTAATTCTCATAAAATCCAATGAGTCAGATATCATTGGCACAGTCATTATACAGGGGAAGGACAGAGTTGGCAGAGTAACTTTCATTATTCAATGCAGGGAGGTGGGTTTCACCCATTCTAGAATCGGTCTTACATCAACTAGGCTTTGCCATCTCTGAACTATGTATAGCAGAGAGTTAAATTCATAGACGCTGAAGTCAGTGGCATTTAAATCTGATGCCGACTCATGGTGGGTACCTGGGTGGTGACTACCACCTTAGTAATGCTGAACATTGACTCAAAGACTCTGAAACGGGATCTTTGTGGTTGTGTCTCCACTGAGGAGTATTCAGAGGGAACAGTGCTCTTATTTGTTGCCCACGACCTTCAACACAGCATCTAGATCCTTCCGAAGGCATCCTCTCTCCACGACCCCTTTCTCCACTGTTCCTCTTGCTGTGTTCCTTAACAGCCCCATCTCCAGGTTTTTTGCCCCATCTCCGGCTTAGTGAGCTGCCCTCCCGCAAGTGCCTGCTGACTGCTGAGTTGTTTCAGCAAGGCTTCTGGGACTGACTCATTTGTGTGATCACTCAGATGGCCTCCCAGACTCCGCTGGTCGAACCCTGGCTCATTTTAGCTGTGCTTCTGCTCTAAGCCTCATCTCTAGGGAGACCGTAATGCTTTTTAGAGACAGAGCTGGATCTGAAATCTCTCCGGTTTTCCTAGTTACAGAGAATTTAGAAACCCTCTGGGAGCCTCAAGGCAGAGCAGCTCAGCCTCAGGACTGGGCACAGAGAACAGACTTCAGCTACTGACTTGTCCAGGTCGCTTGGCTGCTTCTCATAATATCTCATGATGCGGAGGAGCTGGACATCCTGGCTGAGGAAGCAGGGCGGGATCAGTCCATGGATGCCGAGCTGCAGTCTTTCTTCAAGGGTAAAGGCCATGCCCTGGAGAAGAAGAAAGGGACACACATTTAACGTAGGTCTAGGAAGCCAAGGGATGGACGTTCCATCTGTAGAAGCTGAAGTTAGTGCGGATTAGCAAAAAGGGATGGGCCCAGATCTCACCTCTGCTGTTTCAAAGGGGGCTGTCTTGTGTTGTATTCAGGCCTCCTGACGAGACAAACGAGGAAGGCGGATACTTCAGCAAGACTAGATTTTCTTTTCTTTCTTTTTTTTTTAAAAAAAAGAATCTGAGGTCCATAGAACACCAGACTGTAGAATAACGCTCCTTCTATGCCTCTTCCTCCGAATCCCCCCACTTTTTTTTTTTATAATAGTTTAGCATATATATCAAAGTTAATGAATAGACAGAGTGGCCCACCATACAGCTAATCCTTTTAGCTTATTCAGAGCTCCTTGATTTTTGTTATGCCCACGTGTTATCCAGGACTCCACCCAAGCAAGCCGCATTATATCTAATCATTTCCTTAGGCTTGTGTTAGCTAAGATGATCCTCAGGTACCCTTACCTTCTTACGACCTTGATCTTTAGGAGAGTGTTTGTCAAGTCTTTTGGGCAATACTTCTCTGCTAGTACAAGTTGAGCCTTTCTCACAATTACGGTGGGGCTGTAGGCTTTCAAGGGAAGACCACGGGAAGAGAGGGCATGGTCTCCGCTGGTGTGGATCACAGCCATCAAGCTGAGGTAGCGTCTCCCGCTTTGGAATTACTCTGCCCTGGGAATTTGTGTGTCCGAATTGATACATATCAGGATAGACTCATGCACGTTTGGTTTCCACTTTGGTTTATGGTCCAGTGTTGCCTTATTTACGTTATTGCTCGTATTGCTCCAGCTTTGGCTTTTGGGAAATCTTTCAGTCGATTTCAGTATCTTTTGACACACTCTTAAAATACAGTTTTGTTTGTGTTGAGTAATTGTGGCTACCAAGGTTTTTCCCTTCTCCTGGCGATTTGCAGGGCCGTGTGACCTCCGGCTTCCTGGAGACTCTGCACTAGCTCTAGCTTGAGGGGATAACTTAACAAGAACCTGGTTCTCTTTGTTATGGTGATTCCACTTGTATTCAAGGTCTTAGCAATGGGCCCAGAGCCTGGCTCCCTAGCTGACCCTGCCCGAGGGGCCTGGAAGCTTTGATCTTCACCTCCTGCTCCTGGATGGGAGGAGGCCTTGCATTTTCGATCCTTCTAGCCCACTGGTATATATATACCCGACTTGAGTTTAATAAAGTTGCCATTTACTCTGGTAAATGAGCAAAGGTCTCTTTTGTGTGTGTCTCTTTTCCAACCCTCAGGACAATCGTCCATTCTCGTGGGCTCGAGTTCGGGAAAGCGCGCAGCCTGAACCGGGTGTGGGTATCCATTGGGAAGTACAGACTCTAACAAGTAATCCCTTACTTTCTGGTACTCCAGGGATACTCATCTTGTATATTGCCTGCTCTGGTTCTAGAACCATCCATTTCTTCTAAGATCCTCGAGTCATTTTACTGTAATTTGCTATTAGAAACCAAGGTCTGGCCGGACAGCGGTGGCGCATGCTTTTAATCCCAGCACGCTTTTAAATCCAGCAGAGGTAGGCAAATCTCTGTGGGTTCGAGGCCAGCATGGTCTACAGAGTGAGTTCCAGGACAGCCAGGACTGTTTCACAGAGAAACCCTGTCTTGGGAAAACGAAAATAAAAGAAACCAAGGTTTGGGCATTTTTTCTTTTTTCTTTTCTTTCTTTCCTTCCTTACTTCCTTTCTTATTTTTATTTCTTTGTGAGGCAGGCTTTCTCTGTGTAACAGCCCTGGCTGTCTTGAAACTCGCTTTGTAGACCAGACTGACCTTGGACTCATGGAGATCCACCTGCCTCTGTTTCCCAAGTGCTGGGATGAAAGGCATGCACCACCATTGCCCGGTTTGGGCATTATTTTTATTGTGCTTCTTGCTCTGAGGTTTCCTAGTTTGCATTTTCTCTCAGCTTATAGAGCAAGAACATATAGGCATGCATTATAAAATGTGCATCATGCATATTTGAAGATATTTCTATAATTCCTTTTTTGAGCCTAGGTAATATTCGTACCTAAGCCTGTAAATCTGACCCACATCACTTGGGTCATTCTAGTCTGATTCCCTTGCTGATCTGGAAATTCTCACTCAGTCATGCATTCGCCTCCCAACATCTGCCATCTGTTTATTTAATCTCTTAGCTCCAGCAGGCTGATGCAGTAAGGTAAAAAAACCCTTAACTTAGACCACTTTGGGAAATGACTTTATAAGATAGAGTCTATAGAATGGATGAAATTTCTTTGCCTTTAGACTTACAAACTCCATTCATTTCCACAGCTACCTAAACAGATGCTTCCCCCTCCTCCATATTCGTGGAGATTGCTCTGTAAATTTATAATATGTATGAAATCCCATGGACTTTATCTGTTCGTCCCTTCTTTGGCAAACCTCTGGTGGCCACTGATCTTCTTTTGCTCTCTCTACAGCGCCACCCTTTCTAGAATACCGTGCAATTGGCGAATGAGAATATCCAGTCTTCCTAGGCTAGCTTCTTTCACTTAGGAACCCAGCTAACATAAATCCAGTTTAAGTTGTTAAACTCAGGCACTTTAAGGCTTTTGTGCCTTTTCATGACCACAGTTCATTCATTTTATCAAGTAACATCCCATTTGCATTTGTGCCATAGCTCATCTCTAAATATACACAATTATATTCTATATTTTACTTACAGCCACTCCGTGAGGGACATTTAAAGACTTTACAGACAAGAGGGCTCAAGCAGAGAGGTTACCTAACTTGCTTCGTGCTGAACTGCCTCTCAAAAGCAGGGTGTATCCTGCAGCCTGTGAGGACATTTGGCAAGGTAGTTTTGCCATGATTTTCCTAGGTTAGAAGGTAGTAGATCTGATCAAAGGAAGAGAATTGGAGCGGAGGAAGCATGAAAGGCACCTTCTAATTTCCTCTTTGTATGTGGTTTGAAGGCCAGGGCTCTCTGAGACTGAGCTCCCCATAGATTTATAGAGAGGTAGCAACAGATCAACCCCAGCTTGTCTTGAAGACCATTTCTTCTCTGGGAAGTGCAGGAACTGTGCAAAGGCCTACCGTAAGATAGGGCACTTTGCTTGAGAAGATGACACACAGGGACATCTTTAAAGTATTCCACACAAATCCAAAATCTGCTTTATCAAAGATTTTCCAAAGTTACTGAAAGGTTGGAGATGTGGGATTCGGAGGAGACACGAGGCAGAATGGGGATGTGTGATTCAGAGGGACCGCTGAGACAGGAATTCTTTTTGGATAAGAGATTTACTAGAAGAGTTATTAATGGCATAGGTGTACATACAAATAGAGAGACAGCATGTCAGGGACATATGGTAGGCAGTGGACCCATGAGGCAGAGTGAAATTCCTCTTTAAAAAAAATGGTTTTAATGTTATAATCACACAATTTCCCCTTCTCTTTCCTCCCTCCAAAACTTCCCATATATTCCCCTTACCCTCTTTCAAATCCATAGCCTCTTAAAAATTGTGTTACAATATGTTTGTGTGTATTATATATATACACACACATATATATCCCTAAATATATAAATACAACTTACTCAGTTCATATACTATTATTTGTATGTATATGTTTTTACGATTTTCTAAATCTCAGAGAAGTGGAGAGGTTTGTGCAGTCTGTCTCTGACTTCTGGGGTATCAGGGGAGGGAAGGGAATTCTGGAAGGGATATGCTATTCAGACGATGTGGGAGAAGAAGGGCACATTTAGTTATGACAGACCCTTGCACTGGTTGGCGATATGCTTGCTAATGGTGGCCTTGTGTTATCCTGGAGCTTGGCAACTTGAACCTGTAACTTGCTTAGAAACATGACAATGGCATGTGCCATTCTAATGAAATCTAGATACCCGAAGATTCTGTTAGAGGGTTCGAGAGTCAGAGACAGGCTCCTGGTGGCCACACTGCCCTTTCCTCTACAGCAGTCCTGAAAAAGAGGTTGCTGCAGGTGGGTACGGCCTGATCAGCCTGTAGTCTCAGGCCCAGCAGTTACCAGTTTCAAACACCCCTGGTGCTTGCCAACAGCTTTGCAAGCAGGGGGCACCATGCCAGTTCCCAGATTCCTTTGGAAGGAACAACCTTGCTCACAGATTGGTCATCTTTATATTTTTCTTCCCCAAGACAGGGTCTCACCATATAGACCTGGCTGTCCTAGAACTCATTATGTGGACCAGGTTGACCTCGAACTCACAGAGATCTGCCTGCCTCTGCTCCCCAAGTGCTGGGATTAAAAGTGTGCACCAGTAAGCCTAGCCAGACTGGTGACTCTTACCAAACACCATTAGGTAGGTGTCTCTTAACTGATTTGGAAAGACTGCGGTTGCCTCTCCTTGGCCGCAGGGATCCCAGGGATTCCACACATTTAATTATGACATCATCTTTGCTAATAGCCACCGTGGCTTTTACTAACAGCCTGCTTCTCTCTATAGGCTTAAGTGTTTCTCTTGGCTGACTTCCACCAACTTCTTTTGTATTTGAGGAAAACGAATGACTGTTTAGCAATGGGTAATTTTAAGGGTTTAAAGAAATTATTTCTAGAAGCTCTAGATTTATAAACTGGCAAAGCGGAAAGACAAGTTAGCAGTTCCGTGGCTCTAAAAGTGATAAGCATTCTTTTTTTGCAGGGGGTACGGATCCATACCCTCGCGCAGGCTAGAAAACACTCCTCTCCTGAGTTATATTCCCAGCCTTCTTTTCATTTTAACTTTGGGACAAGGTCCCACTAAATTGCCCCAGCTGACCCGCAAGTCTCTAAGTAGGTTAGGTTCACTTAAACTTCTGATCTTGCCTTGGTCTCCAGTACCAGGGTAATATGGCACCTTAAAGACCATTCACTATAGCAGAGGGGAAATGTACTAGGACTTGCATTGATCTGTAAGAGGAATACATTTTGCTAAGCGGCGCTCAGACTCTTGATCTGCATGTCAGAAAGTCAATTCCCA